AGTGATTGCTTGTATCTATGTTGGTATTTCCCCGAAGAGGAGTGGATGATGCAGCACAACAACGGTAAGTATTTCCGTCAGTTATGAAACTAAGGTTATCAATCCAGTAGGAAAACCAAGAAACACTATGTAAACAACACCTGCACACAAATAACAAATACTTGCAACCCAACGCGTAAGAGGGGTTGTCAATCCCTCCTCGGTATTGAGATATATTAAATTGTATGAGATTGGATAAATAGATCTAGCACAAACACAAAATAAAATAAATAAATAAAAAGTGCAGCCAGGTATTTTTGGGGTTTTGGAATAATAGATCTGAAAATAATATGATAGGAAATAGACCCGGGGGCCGTAGATTTCACTAGTGGCTTCTCTCGAGAAAATAGCATACGGTGGGTAAACAAATTACTGTTGGGCAAGTGATATAGGAGCAAATAATTATGATGATATCCAAGGCAATGATCATGTATATAGGCATCACATTCAAGATTAGTAGACCGAAACAATTCTGCATCTACTACTATTACTCCACACATTGACCGCTATCCAGCATGCATCTAGTGTATTAAGTTCATGGAGAAATAGAGTAATGCAATAAGAATGATGACATGATGTAGACAAGATCTACTCATGTAGGAATAGACCCCATATTTTTATCCTTAATGGCAATGATACATCCGTGTCACTTCTCCTTCTGTCACTAAAATTGAGCATCGCAAGATCGAACCCGTCACAAAGCACCTCTTCCCATTGCAAGAAAAACCAATCTAGTTGGCCAAACCAAACCAAAGTTTCGGAGAAGAAATATGAGGCTATAATAATCATGCATACAAGAGATCAATGAAGACTCAAATAATATGAAGGAAATATGCCCTAGAGGCAATGATAAAGTTGTTATTTATATTTCCTTATATCATGATAAATGTTTATTATTCATGCTAGAATTGTAGTAACCAGAAACTTGACACATGTGTGGATACATAGACAAAACACAGTGTCCCTAGTAAGCCTCTACTAGACTAGCTCGTTAATCAAAGATGGTTAAGTTTCCTAGCCATAGACATGTATTGTCATTTGATGAACGGGATCACATTATTAGGAGAATGATGTGATGGACAAGACTCATCCGTTAGCTTGGCATAATGATCGTTAAGTTTTATTGCTATTGCTTTCTTCATGACTTATACATATTCCTTTGACTATGAGATTATGCAACTCCGGGATACCAGAGGAATACCCTGTGTGCTATCAAACATCACAATGTAACTGGGTGATTATAAAGATGCTCTACGGGTATCTCCGAAGGTGTTTGTTGGGTTGGCATAGATCGAGATTAGGATTTGTCGCTCCGAGTATTGGAGAGGTATCTCAGGGCCCTCTCGGTAATGCACATCATAATAAGCCTTGCAAGCAATATGACTAACGAGTTAGTTGCGGGATGATGCATTATGGAACGAGTAAAGAGACTTGCCGGTAACGAGATTGAACTAGGTATGGAGATACCACGATCGAATCTCGGGTAAGTAACATACCGATGACAAAGGAAATAACGTATGTTGTCATTACAGTACGACCGATAAAGATCTTCGTAGAATATGTGGGAACCAACATGACCATCCAGGTTCTTCTCTTGGTTATTGACCGAAGAGGTGTCTCGGTCATGTCTACATAGTTCTCGAACCCATAGGGTCCGCACGCTTAACGTTCGATGATGATTTTGTATTATACAAGTTATGTGATTTGGTGACCGAATGTTGCTCGGAGTTCCGGATGAGATCACGGACATGACGAGGAGTCTCAAAATGGTCGAGAGGTAAAGATTCATATATTGGACAATGATATTCGGACACCATAAGTGTTTTGAGGATACCGGGTGCATATCGGGTCACCAGAAGGGGTTCCGGGCATCCCCCGGGCAACTACATGGGCCTTAATGGGCCAAGAGGGGGACAGACCAGCCCCTAAGGGGCTGGTGCACCCCTCCCATATGGGCTGACCAAATTGGAGTAGAAAAGGGGAAGGAGGAAAGGAAAAAGGGAATAGGATTCCTCCTTCCCCCTCTTCCCTTCCTACTCCGAATAGGAATAGGAAAGGGGGGAGGCCGAATTGAGAGGACCCCAAGTAGGATTCCTCCTACTTGGGGCACCCCCTTGGCTGCCTCTCCTCCCCTCCAACCTATATATATGAAGGGGGGCACCGCTAGAACACACACCAACAATTGTTAGCCGTGTGCGGCACCCCCCTCCACAGTTTATGCCTCCGGTCATATCTTCATAGTGCGTAGGCAAAGCCCTGCGCGGATCACTTCACCATCACCATCACTATGCCGTCGTGCTGACGGAACTCTCCCTCGACACTTTGCTGGATCAAGAGTTCGAGGGACGTCATCGAGCTGAACGTGTGCAGAACTCAGAGGTGTCGTATGTTCGGTGCTTGATCGGTCGGAACAAGAAGAAGTTCGACTACATCAACCGCGTTGTCAAACGCTTCTGCTTTCGGTCTACGAGGGTACGTAGACACACTCTTCCCCTCTCGTTGCTATGCATCTCCTAGATAGATCTTGCGTGAGCGTAAGATTTTTTTTGAAATTGCATGCTACGTTCCTAACATAATATTCATAGGTAGATCTGATCATAAACTCACAATTCATCGGATCCCAACAAACACACCGCAAAAAGAGTTACATCAGATAGATCTCCAAAAATATCGAGGAGAACATTGTATTGGGAATCAAAAAGATAGAAGAGGCCATCTAGCTACTGCCTACGAACCCGTAGGTCTGTGGTAATTAAACTACTCACACATCGGAGGAGGAGCACCAATGAGGATGATGAACCCCTCCGTGATCGTGTTCCCCTCCGGCAAGGTGTCGAAATAGGGCTCTAGATTGGATCTCGTGGTTCTGGAACTTGCGGTGGCTGGAATTGTTTTTCGTCAACTCCTCTGGGGTTTCTGGAATATTTGGGTATTCATAGAGCTGAGAGATGGTGGAAAGGACTCTCGTGGACCCCACTACCCACCAGGGCGCGCTAGGGGCCTCTGGCGCGCCCTGGTGCCTTGTGGGCCCCACGGGCTTCCCCTCCTACACTTCCTTGGCTCCCAAGTTGTCTTCTAGGCAGAAAAAAATCTCCAAAAAGTTTTGCTACGTTTGGAGTCCGTTTGATATGGATATTCGCGAAGTAAAAAGCAAGCAAAAAACAACAACTGGCACTGGGCACTATGTCAATAGGTTAGTCCCAAAAAATGATATAAAGTTGCCATAAAATGAATGTAAAACATTGAAGAATGATAATATAACAGTAGGGAACAATAAAAAAATTATAGATACCTTGGTGACGTATCAGTGACTAATCGGCCGAAGATGCACAGTCCACCAGGCTTGGCGTCGACGGGAGGGGAGGAGCGGTGGCCTTCCTAGGACCAGAGCGGCGGAGACCTACCACACACTACTCTTCCTTGCTACCGGCGGCCCCCGCGAACGTGTCGGCTTCTTCGTGGGGGCAGCGGGGCGCGGCCTCGGCGTTGTCCTCCTCCTCCTCATCGTCGGTCTCGTCGAACACCGCCTCGCTCGCATCGTCATCGCATTCATTCCCGGTGGCCGCTACCTCAGCCACCCGCTGTCGGTGCCACTAGCGGGCGAGGCAGATCTCGCGGGTGGAGCGGTAGGACTCGAGCACCGCCTCCTACTCCGCCAGGTCCGCGTCCGACGCGAGCATCCTGCCGGCGACGACCTGCCCCTCCGCCTGCAGATGCTTCTAGAGGAGGTTGTCGTTGTAGTTTGTGTCGGCATGCGTCTCCCGAAATTGCTCCTCCCGCACCATGTCAATATAATGGGCACGTGCCTCACCGATGATCATGGTGTAATGCATCGATGAGGGTGGAGTGGAGGAGGAGGGTGCCGCGGAGAAGAGGAGGGTGGCACTGGCTCATCGTCGGAGGCGTCCTCCGGTTGCCTGCCGGCCTGCCAGTCGACAGCAATGGCAGCCAGCTCCTTCTTCTACTCCAACGTCAGCCCATCCCAGAGAGCTTTGGCGGCGGAGGGATCCATGGCGGGGAGTGGTGCGGAGACGGATGATTGTGGCTATCGTCGGGCATTTATATAGCACCGGTGGGCTGCAGATGGACTGACGGTTGGCGCCAGAGGAGACGTCTCGGCAACCGCGTGCCATCAATGCGGGCGGCAGACGAACGGGCGGGCGACCGTTGTGTCGTTTGAACACGCGGTAGTCGCCTGCACAGGGAAGTGGTGCGGGCCACGCTCTCTCGGCCGGCGCCAGTGAGCGGTCGCGTCCGCTCTGGCTGGGCATGAATACGGGCGCTGACGCTCTGGAGCTGCGCTGACCGAAAACGCGGGAAGTGGAGGTTTTTGGTGGGCCAGGACAGTCAAAAGCGGGTTTGGGATCGGTCCGGACTCCTGCAAACCTCCCTCACGTTTGTCTTCGGTTTGCATGAAAAAGCACGTCCGGACTGCGTCTTGAACCGATACATGACCGTGTTGAATGGTTTTCACGGTTTGAATGGTTGAGGAAGGTTTGAGGGTCGGTGTTGGAGATGCCCTTAGAAACTGTATTTCCTTGTATTGTATGCATCTGCCTCTACGCCTAACTCTGCAGTATAGCATAACGAACATATTCGTGACACCCTTATAAATCTGTGGATCGTCACATCTGGGTTGGACACATTGGACAACTTGAACAGAGAGCATCTTTTTCTACTCCCTCCGCATGTTGTCAAATCCAGAGATAAGATTAGATTAAAGAAGATACCTTAGCAAGATCGTCCACTAGCTTCGAATAATTCGTTTTTTCGCAGCATTTTTCCTTCGCCTGTGATGTAGAACAGCATCGTCTAGATTATATATGTTCCTATCCGGTGGTCAAGTCCAAAGGATAGCATATTCCCCTTGCCCTAGATTAGCTAGAAACACTTGACGTGTATTCTTCGTCCTATATTAATAGCATTTCTTTTTTGTAAATTTCTTCCGGAGGAATGGAGGATCACATGACGGTGCAGGCGTGTACGTTGTCGTCGTTGAAGAGCGCGAGCGCGCGGTCGTCGAGGATGTGCGTGAAGGCGTGGCCGGGGTAGTAGCCCACCACCGGATCGTTGTAGCCGTGGAGGTGGTACCTGTGCGTGGGCAGGTATGTGTCGTCCTCCAGGTACCGTATCGCGAACGGGTAGTACCCGGCGTCGTACGGCGACGGCCAGAACTCGGCCGCCCGGAGCACCCTCCGCCGCTCCACGTACCCCGTCACCGTCACCTTCTGCGTGTCCATGTCGATCTCGACAGTGCTCACGCCTGCACGCACGACAGAGTTAGCTGGACCGCATGCGCGTACGTGTTTCTGCTGAACGATGATCGAGGATCATACGTGCCTTCGAGCCGGGACATGGCCTTCCTTATTCTCTTCTCGCAGCCCTCGCAGTCCATGTGCACATTCATCTCCACGATCTTTGCATTACAAGCGCAAGCAAGTAGTGATAATCAAATCAAAATGAAGTTGCCAATGGCATGATATGCATGCAGTATCTGTTTTCTTTTTTAACTTACAGACAGGGCGTTCGACAAGGCGGCGCTCCTCCGCGTCCTCCAAAAGCGTAGCATGCTCACTCCAACAGCCGGCAATGTAGGAACGGCCTGGTGTGGATGCACCAAGGCTGCAGGCTGGAAGCCCATAAATAGTGCATGAGCAGACGCCAATGCACGGTGGATATCATATCAACTCGACATGACATGAGCGAACATGATGCAGAGATACTCGGGCATTGGCATCGATGCCTCCCAGCACAAGGAGATGTATACGCGAGGCCAATGTTGGTGTTTCGACCCTTTTCGAAAAGTTTAACCGGATCTAACTCTAGTTCGGAATTTTTTTAAAAATCTAACCTTTTTTTTACCGCCATTGACCTCGACGATAGGGTAGCACAACCTACCGTCAAAAGATCTAACAATATGATTTACCGGCACCGTCACGCCCATTTAATATGAAAAAGACCCTACCGTTATAGTCTTTGACAGTAGCCAGTTTATACCTACCGTCAAAGCTCTCCTCTTGAGCTGATAATATTTGCATGTGTTGCATGCAGCAGCTACTGTAGAGGCTAGTCCAGTCTATGGATGGATGAATTGCATGTTGGGCAGCAGCAGCTAGACTGTAGGGGCTAGGCCAGTCTATGGATGGTTGGATTACTTAATGCATACATGCATGTTGCGGGCAGCAGCCACAAAAAATAGAATAAGCTGGAAGCGGCACTCGGGTGCTCCACCCCCTATATTCAAGAGTAATTTAATAATTAAAAAAAATTGGATATATTTTTGAACTAAATATGATTAGGTATTGTACTCATATAAAACGTTTGGCCAAGGAATAATTCTCGTTGACTTCAGGGTAAAAAAAACAAATTTATGACGACAATATAACATGAATAATACTTGCATCTAGTATTTTTTGAGAAATCTTTGACCCCGGATACAATAAATGTCATTTCCTATTTAAATCTTTTTACATAAGTGCAATAGCTGGTCATGTTTGATTCCGTAAAAAATTCCTGGATTTTTTGACTTTTTTAAAATTACTAAATTATTTTTAAATATAGGGGGACTTAGCACCCGAGAGCTCCTATGCATTTTCCAAGCTAGCTACTGCTAGATTGGTCATCCATGCATATGCATGGAGAGAGCAACAAGCGCATAGGACAAAGTTGCTGCACACATGACCGATGCATGTGTGTACTAGTAATGCCATCGCATTGCCTACCGTCACGCTATTTGACGGTAGAGTTGTACTGCCTACCGCCAAGAGATCGGACGGTAGGGTATTTTTTACGTTAAACGAACATAACGGCATAGTTAAGTCCTTGGTGGTAAGCAGTATTACTTACCGTCAGACACTATAACGCAGATCGTGATTTTTTTTTCAGACCAGGATCAGATCTGGCTATTTTTAGAAAAAGGTCAAAACACGAAAATAGGCCAAAACACGAGACGGGTCGACGCAGGCCAATTCCTTTTATTAATCTTTTGGCGGTATGTGGAAGGTTTAGACATGTCGGGCATGAATCATGTTATCCTCGCTAAGATTTTTGATAAATCACACATGAAAAGAATTAACAAAATCAACACAAAATGCAGGCTGTGACTTGCCTCTTTATTATTCAGATTTCAAGAGAGACTAGCTAAATACTCGTGTGTTGCATCGGGAGCAACTGCATTCTAGTGGTTCAACATAGGAAAATATTGATTCAGTTGAGATCGAGGTACATTGTGGGAAGAGAATCCATAGGCAAGGTAAATAAATATATGATATGCTTGTAGTCGTTGCTAGATGGTCTACGGATCTGAATGTAATTTTTATTGTTTCTAGTGTTTGTTGTACTACCATGATTGAAGATGAATATATTAGAAGTTTATCCCGCAAAAAAAAAAGAAATATATGATGTGATTGAGATTGTGTATGTACAACGAGTTGATTTTATTGTTTACTTGCAAGAGATTTTATGTTATTGATGATTTATTTGATCTATGTTGATTGCTTTTGCAAGTGGTTTCTTTCCTAAAAACAAAGAGATCGGGGTCAGTTCTAAAAATATTAATGAGGGTCATCACATGGTTTAGATGAAAATCCGTGGGAGTGAACATGTATCGATGGGAGGATGAAAGCGAAACCAACAAACTCTTCTTTAATAATAGATATTATCTTCACCCACGTCTCACACACATGGACCGAGCCAATAGTGCTTAGTTGTGTTTTTCTCTATTTTTTTCCTTTTGTTTTCTTTTTATTTCCTTCTTGTTTTATTTTCATTTTCTTATTTTGCCTTTCTATTTGAATGTATCCTTTTTTCCTTTTGGCATTTGTAAATAATAAAAAATGGTTTTATTTGGTATATACGTATGGCTTTTTTTCTAAGATAGATGAAAAATTCTCATTTTAAAAACTTTGTATATATTTTATATTTTTTTAGTTTTCAATGTTAATAATTTTAAATTTTAATTTTAGGTGGTAAATACATGAATACTATAGGAAAAGATTGAACGCACAAAATTATGAACATCTCTTTAAGGAACATGCACATTTTTCTAACACGTGAACATTTCTAAAAATGCATGAATACTGAGTAAATTGCATAAATTAGCATATACTAAATGCATATTTAAAAAAACACAAACATGTCGACATAGATAGACATTTTCAAAATACATGAAAAAAATAGATGAAAAATTCTTTTTGTGAAAACATGTGCACCAAAGCTTGGCAAAAAATTATGGCAACTTCAGGTAGCTCTCGCGACTACAAATCCAACTCCTCTCCTATTCGCCTGCCACCACCAGCATTGGCCACCCTCTCAGCACCTTGCGCAATCCCTGGATCCCAAGCACAACTTACATGCTTAGGGTGGAGAATGGAGGAAGGAGGTGTGTGCGCTCTTGTTGTTCCCGTTCATCCATGCCGGCGACGACAACCAAGTCGGCTCTTCCTCTCACCGCCCACCCCCTTTACGGACGTTGCCCCCTATCAGCTGATGAAGCGCCCGGTGGATCCCTGAAGGTTTCCTCACTCAATCTAGATCATTCGGATTACGATCCCATCCCTTCGTCTCGTCAAATCCCTGCTTGTCGTGAAGAGATGGAGTTGGCCCTAGTTTCGTCGCCGACGGTTGCCGCGCTTGGCTCGTCTCCTAAGCGCGTGCAACTCCAACCTTGTTGCTCCATAGTTAGGTATGGAGAAGTTGCTGATGTCCTGGTTCAGAAGGTGACCGCCACGCTTGACCCAGTTCCTGGTGAAAATGTTGAGGTGGTGCCTCAGACGCCTTTGTGCTCCTCGTCCATTGCAAGAGGCCTCGATTCTGAAGTTGCTTGTGGCATCAGCGATGCAATCACGAGTTGGCGCCACACACGACCACACTTGTTGTGGATTGCACTAATGTTGGTGCCGATTCGGTGCAGCCGACTTGCGATCCGGTGGAGGCAGTGGGTGCTATGCCACGGGCTGGCCCTGGATTTTTGTGGGAGGGAGGTGTCTTGCCCTTGGCCATGGGGCTTGTAGCTAAGCTCCCAATTCATCAACACTACATTGTGCAAGGATTGAGCAAGCCGCCACCTTCAGACGAGTAACTCATGGTCGATGTTTTTGTTGCTTGGCTGCTATTCGTGGTGGGCTGAGAGCCTGAGACATGGCACCAGGTAAGCGGCATATAACTCATAATAACATGCATATAAAGGCCTCTTATTTGGCGCATTGTGTGTCAAAATCTGGCCGAACGCATAGAGCGTTTGCTCATGTGCCGGCCCACTTGGGTTGCATGAAGCGAACGCTGACGAGCTATTTCACTAATCTATACCTTTCATGGTTTTTTGGTTTATTTTATTTTTAATCTTTTTTAACATGTACATCTTTTATCATCTGAATATAGCTACAAAACATTTTAAGGCAAATATATAGGAACATTTTAAAATTACAGGAATGTTTTATACAGATGTGCGTATTTTAAAAGAATTGGTCATTTAAAAAAAAGTCAACTTGTTCTAAAAAGAGTATGAATCATTTAAAAAAATGTCAACTTGTTCTAAAAAGAGTATAAACATTTAAACAAAGATGTAAAAATTTTAAAACTTAATTTTGGAAAAATAAATTGTGAATATAGTTTAACAATCATGATTTAAAAAAAATTGACGAACATCTTTTCAGAGCTTGGGAGAGCGCGAGACTGAGCCGGCCCATTGCGGAGGAAGCCACAGGCCACAACCTCGTTTTTTCTCGATTTTTTCCATGTTTTCTGTTTTTGTTTTTTGCATTTTTTTACTTTTGTTTATACTTCCAAATATATTACAGAAAATATTTTACATAAAACATTGGAAAAAAGTTAGTCAGGAATTTTAAAAGTGTTAAATTTTTATAGAAAAAATGTTTCAAATTTATACAAAAATACAATGTGTAAGGAAAAAGTTGATCATGTATTTAGAAAAAGTTAATCAAGAAATTCAAAAATGTTAATAAAGCATTCAAAAATGTGCAAGCATATGAAAAATGTTAAATGTGCATCATATTTTCTCAGATATCCAAAAAAATATACAAAAAAAATACATAATGTGTATTAAAAATGTAATCATATATTTACAAAATGTGAAAAGTGTATAAGAAAAGTTCTTGATGTATATTAAAAAAGTACAAACGTACATTCACTAAAAGTAGACATGAAAACATATATTTTAAAAAGTTATTTTATACTTAAAAATTGTTAAACATGTATATAAAAATGTTCCTAATGTGTACCAGAAATGTACATTGTGTGAGAAAAGTTGTTTATTGCCAATAAAAAATGAACGTGCAATTAAAAAGTGTTGACCATGTATTTTAAAAAGTGTTCATCTCTTTAAGGAACATGCACATTTTTCTCACATGTGAACATTTCTAATAATACATAAATACTGTGTTAAACAATTTTTTGGGGTCAAGATATGAACATATCCTTAGGATATCTGCAAGAAATCACATAAATTAGCATCTAAGAAATGCATATTTAAAAAAATACACAAACATGTCGACATAGATGAACATTTTCAAAATACATGAAAAAAGAGATGCAAAATTCTTTTCGTGAAAT